CGCTGGATGCTTACAGTCGGGGCGTTGACCTATAAGGAACCATAAATCAGAAACGAGGCCCCTTTGTCCCCGAAGTGAAACTTCCATCTCCCATGGGAAACCTAAGGACGACTGTCAAACAATCAAGGAACATCGAGCCCCTCCCCAACGAAGAAGGCTCCTCCTTCAGCGCCCCGACTCGGGACGCCGGTATTTTCAGAGAAAACACCCGATGACGAAAGCTGCCAGCTTCCCAACTGCTGGGGCGAGGGACCCCACCAGGCAGGCCCAGAGAGGGCGGCGGCGGGGACCCCTGCCCCGAGCAGGGCAAGAGTGGCGGCCGGGCAGAGCCTCGGATGGCCTGGAGGGTCGGCCCGGCCCCTCCGCCCGCCCCCCCCCCCCGTTGGAGCCCTCCAGGCTCAGGGCGTCGCGGGGCGCCCCGGCGCCCACCTCGCAGAAGAACGCCCCAGCGATGCCCCACCAGATCCTCCCGGCGGCCTCGTCGGCCTTCAGGGTGAAGCGCTTGGAGGACCCGTCCGTCCCCAGGCGCGTGCACGTCCACTCGTCCGCGCGCAACGGCGCCACCACGTAGGTCTCGCCCTTCTCGCCCACCCACTCGCGAGAGATGTGGCCTCCGAATCCGTCTCCGACTTTCGCCGCGCTGGCGGCTGCGTCGCCCTTCGATTGGCCACTCCGGCCCCTGGACGAGCCCTGAATCGGCTGCCAGCTCATGAGACGTGTCCGCCGCTGTCGAGGACTGCCGCGCAGCTCCAGGTGCGAAGAAATGCGGTCCAGTGCCAGCAGCGCGGTCCTGAGCCGATAACGTGCTGCAGAAGGTGGGAGGAGGGGGAACGGATATAAGCAGAAAAGAGAGAGAGAGAGAAAGACAAAAAGAGCAGCGCGGGCGGTGGTGGGAGGGGACTGCAGAAAGAGAACGAGAGAGAGAGAGAGACAAAAACAAAAACAAAAAAACACAGAAAGCGAGGGGATTCGAAACATCCAATGTCATACCTCCAGCGTCCTCTCGACCCAATCGGTCGAAATGTTGTTTTTGTTCGCGCAGCCTGGCCATTCTATGCTAGGCACGCCCAACATGAGGACGGAAAGCGATATCCAACACCAGTGCCTGCTCTTGTGGAGCAAAAGTTGCTGCCCTTCGGGTTTTTCTGACAATAATTGTTGTCATATTGACGGTCAGTCTTGCCAGCCTGAACATGACATGCGGCCAACTGGAGCAGACTTGCTGTCGAAATGACAAGCCTTGCTGTCAGATGGGCCCCGACGCACTGCACATCTTGATCCACGTGAGCAAACAGGGTGCTGTTGGGCATCGTTAGCGTAGATGTTATGTCCCCTTTCTGGGCATGCAGATATATGAGCCCCACGATGCTGAACGGATCGCTGGAGACCCGAGCCGAGAAACACCGACCGAACTTTGACTCCTGGGATGCGAGGGGAGAATTTGTCCATATCCACCGCCTGGGAGACGACGTCCTAGCACACCAGCGGGCGGTGGATATGGATATAGTCCCGAATCCATACATTTCCACCGTTGTGAATGCCATATCAATGGGCACCATAACAGTCCTACCATTGATTTGGAGATGTGTCTGACATATTTCAGAACTGTTCAAAGTGTGTTTTGAAAAATTGTTTCAACATGTTTCGCATCACTGCGCCCTTATAGAACAAACAACCATTTCAAACATATTGTAGACATCTGGGAATTTGGCAACATGCTTCCTCGCCATTGGTCGTCGTCCGCCGCCGGTGGAGACCTGTGAGGATCAATCTCTCGGGCGGTGGTTATGGATAAATCCCCGCCTAGGATGGGAACCCCCGAGGTTTAGGCGGGGCATGTCCTCCTACAGGCGGATTTTGGACAAAACAATAGCCAAACACCATTCAAAACTATTCAAACATTCGTCCCTAGACTATTGTTTGACTATTCTTGAAGATCCCTCCTGTGGAGGGACGTGCCCGACTTCACCCGAGCTATGGAGCGCCCCCGCCTCAGCAGTCGAGCGCCGGCGGCTCTCGCTGAAGGGGCGGCCGCGGCGAGGGGGCCGGCCCTGTGAGAGGGCAGGGGGGAGGGCCTTCTGCAGGGGACCCGCAGGCGTCCAAGAACGCCCCCGAGAATCTGCGGGGGAAGAACGGTACCTAAGAGAAGCCTTTCCGCTGTCGGGGGCGCCTGTCCCGGGGCGGCTGGAGAGTTGACACCCTCACGGTGCCACGTAGGGGTAGAAACTGGTAGCCCGGGGGCAGGCGCTCCCGACGGCGGGAAAATTTCTGTTATTCCGTTCTTCGCCACGGCGGGCGGAGCCCGGAGCCCGGAGCCATGGCGGACGGTGTTCTCTCTCGCTGTGCTCGGCCTCAGGCCTTCGCCGGGCCCTGGGACTTTCAGGCAGCTCTCGGGGATCGACGGACCCGGGCCAGTCCGGACCCGGGCCAGGCAGGCTTCGCAAGAGCCTGCAGGAGCCTGCAGGATCCTGCACCCAAGCACGGGTCAATGCAGGCCTGGCTCTGCAGGATCCTGCAAGATCAGGCGCTCTGACTGGCCCCCCCTTTGCATTGACCCCCATCCCTGGGACCCCGACGACGACTCAGAATGAAAATCCTGGTACCGGGGAAGGGGTCGGGACCCCAGGGGCTTCCAAGGCCGCGCTGACGGCGATGTTGGTGAACGGCGTTGTTGGGAATCCGATTTTGTGCCGCCGAGCTCGCGCAGAACAAATTGTAGGAAATCACGAACCACACTTTCCTACATTTCAAATGTGCGAATGCATCGAGCGAACACGACACAGCGAGTTGTAGGAAAACACGAACCACGCGTTCCTGCAGTTGGTCCGGCCACGAACCACGCCCTCCTACAGTCGCTTGTCCCACCTCGTCGTCGGCTGACACACCGCGTCAGCGCATCTGTGGGGCTTCGTCGTTAGGAACAAGCACAGTCGGGGCCTTGACCCAAGGAACCCAAAATAAGGAACGAGGCCCCTTTTCCCCATAAGTTCAAACTTCGATTTCCGATCGAAAACATCAGGAAAGCCTGAGGCAAGCTGCGAAACGCTTAAGGAACGCGGAGCCCCTCCCCAACGAAAAGGGTTCCTTCTTCGGGGCCCCGACTGTATGACGTCGGGGGTCTGGGGGGTGGGGAAGCTGAACGTCTCCTGGCGTCGCTCCCCAGGCGGCTGTTCCCGAGCCACCGCCAGCCGTGGCCACAAAGGGGACGCTCCAGGAGGGAGCCCAAGAGGGCGCGGGGCGACGGCCTTGGGCCTCCTCTGGAGGTCCTGCCCCCCGAGGCGCGGACCTCGCGGAGGGTCGGGCGTCGCCCCCTCTCCCTCCTGCGCACCCGCCAAGACTTGGATCGGGCACGTCCCCCTACAAGCAACTTTTGGACGAAACATTACACATACTAGACACATGCTCGAAACGGTAAAAAACAAAAAAAAAAAAAAAAAAAAAAAAAAAACAGTCGGGAACTCGTCCCCAGTCCATGTTTGGACCATGTTCGGATTCGTCCTCCTATAGAGGGATACGCCCGACTTCAGCCGAGACAGCAACGCTATTGCTTGTTCTTGGGGGGGGGGGGCGGCGGGCGAAGAAGGGCACCGAAGGAGGGAGCAGGGAAGGACGGACGGGAGGGGGGAGGCGGCGGAGGTGGAAGTGGTGGAGGTGGATCCTCCTCCTCCTCCTCCTCCTTGGTGGCGTGTAAAAGAAAGGAGCGCGAGGGGACAGAGACGCGAGAAGGGGGACGAGAAGCGAGGGGGTAGGAGCAGGGAGGGGGGGAGGAGGAGGGAGGGAGGAGGCAGGAGGAGGAGGAGGAGGAGGAGGAGGAGGAGGAGGAGGAGGAGGAGGAGAAGAGATGACGAAAAAAGGGAAGTGAGGAGGGAGGTATGGATGGGGGGTGGGATGAGAGGGCGGGGAAGGGGGAGGGGGAGGGGGAGGAGGACGAGCTAGGTGCGCTCGCGTCATATCTGACATCCTACCCCTCCCTCCCATCCCGTATCATGGCGTAGATCCCCTCTCTACTCGCACAGTCGGATGTCGAGCAGGGCAATGATCCCGAAAGGATACGCGATGCACTGTAGAGCACGGCATGGCATGGCGTAGAAGAGCACCGCAAAGCGTAGTATGTCACAGCATGGCGTGGCGTGCCGTAGTGAAGAATTGCATCACAAAGCTTTGCAACGCCAAGCATGGCATCGCACAGCGGCCCCGAACATAACATTGCATAGCATGGCGTTGAAGATCAAAGCGTAGAATGGCATAGCACGACGTGGCACTTAAGCACAGCAATTCACAGCTTCGGCTGAAGGCATGGCATCGCGCAGCGGAACGCAACCTAGCATTGCATTGCATGCCGTGGCATGGCACGGGAAATGACGCCAACGCTGCAGCAGGAGCACGATTCGGAACGAGCGGAAGCACGGACATAAGGCCAGCGCTGCAGCGGGAGCACGATTCGGAACGAGCGGGGCCCGAAAATGAGGCCGGCAACTCAGCGAGAGCAACATTTTGAAAAACATGCAGGCGAAAACCCAACTCCAGGGAATCCTGTGTAAAAAACAATACGTGGGGGGGGGGCGAACACTCCCAACCCGTCATCAGCGGAAGGAGGAGAGTAGTATTCATATTGAGTAATTGTGGAGGAGGAGGAGGAGAAGGAGGAGGAGGAGGAGGAGGAGGAGGAGCGGGAGGAGGAGGAAGAGGAGGAGGATGAGGAGGACGAGGAGGAGGAGGAGGGGGGGAAAAAACAGAAGACAAGGAAGAATGGAGAAGGGATGACGGGAAATGGGAGGGCGGAGAAGGAGTAAAACTTATAAGGCGTATGGGATGAGGTTAGAGCAGAGAGGTGAGAGTGGGATAGAAGGAGGCGGTCAAAAGGGCGTATAGATGAGGGAGGACAGGGCGGAAGAGGCAGGGAGTAGGAGGAGGAAGGGTAATGGAGAGTTAAGGGGAGGGTAAGGGAGAATGAGAACAGGGAGGGAGGATGACTGGGACGGAGGAGGGAGGAAAGAAGACGGAAGGGGAAGGCGAAAGATTCATCCTCCGCACCGCCTCCAGGCCCAAGCGCTTCGGCCTCCTCCAGACCTCCAGCCTGGAGGCGCAACATCCCAGGCCTCTGGGCGTCGTGAAAAAAACACACGGTGGACGCTCCTGTGAGGGGGGGCACATCCGGCTGGAATGGGCGGCGCGAATCGACGATAACTTTAGGTCGGGCATGTCCCCCTACAGGCGGATTTTGGACGACAAAACAACATAAACCAAACATGCCCTCCAAATAGCCAAAGATGGTCAAATTCTCGTCCCCAGACTATCTTCTGACTCACTACTCTTGAATATTCCTCCTGCAGAGGAACGCGCCCGACTTAAACCCGGCTGGAATCGGCGGCGCAGCGACGACGGATCGGCGGCAGGCCCCCGAGATGGCGAACCCGCACGTTCCTGGGCGGGGGGGGCCCTCGGGCCCCCACCTGCGATCCATGCGCGGCTCGGGGCCGATGCCTCACCCCCTGAGCCTCCCCCCCCTTCGCGTTGCTGCTGGCACTGGGCCCCTCGAAGGTCGACCTGGCCCGATGAGCGGGCAAGGCTGAGCTGGATCGAATCGCGAAATCGGATCGGATCGGGAACAGATCGGGATCGCCAGCGAATCGAATCGAAACTGGAGCGCCGCGCCCAGCTCCGGAAAGCCCCCAATCCAACTTGTGGTGGTGGTGCTGGAAACAAGCCCATCAGGTCGGGTGCTCGCGCGCTGCGTTCGGCTACACGCCAAGAGTGACCCTGGGCAAGAGTCACCTTTGGTGCGCGGCCTTCTGGGGGCCGCGGGGAGACCCAACCTGGGCGCGCAAAGCCGCCGCTGCCGCCTCGTTTCCAGCCATCCGAGGGCCCACCCGGTGCTCGCACCAGGAGGTCACTCCCGAGGGTGCGTGCCCACGTCGCCGTGGCCTCCTCACCACGCCGACGCGTCGGGAGGGCCTCCGGCCCTCTCACAGGGCTGCAGGCGCGGGCCCCGGCCTGAGGGCTCCGTCGCGGGCGAGGCGAAGAGGCTCTGAGACCACGCCGGAGCAGCACTCTCGCCACGCTGGCCGATGCCCCTGCTGCTCCGAAAGGTGTCCAGCTTTCCAAGGCCTGCGAAGTGGAGCCAATATCTCCGATGCTCTGTCTCGGCGGCGACGATAAGGGCGAATAGCCCAGGGGAGGGCATTACGCGCATTCGCCCGGGAGCCTTGTCGAAGACATAGATCATCGGCGCCCCTGGATACATGTATTGCTCTCCTTTGGCCTATTCGCCCCTTTCGTCGCCTCTGACTGTCTGCTTCAGCAGAACTGTCACAACCCAACTCAGTAGGTGGGGCTTGACCCTGCGAGCATAACTGGCATAGTTCGCATCGCCATCTGGTAATGCGTCCTCCTTCGGGACAGCACACAAAGGATGTGTGTGGACCAGGCAAAGCTAGCATCGCTGAGAACAACTGCCTTTCAGAACGAGCTGGGATCCGGCGAATCCAGAGAACTGCAGGCTAGACGATGACAAGGGAGTCCACGTATCGTATGCCCAATTACAAATTGTGCACCTGTTTGCCAGGAGGGTATTGGCGCACCGAGCGCAGAGAGCTAGCACCAGTGCGCAACCGAATTCAAATTATAATTTGAAAGGCAGCCTGATAGCTTGTCCTCTAGCGGAGTTGAGCGAGAAACGCCGAACGCAACGAAGACAACGGCTTTAGTTGACCTCATCCCTTTCAGTTCGTGACCCAAGACAATTCCAGGCAGACTGTTCGTGGACTGCCTGCTGTGGAGCCATGCTCCGCATTGCTAGCACTCTCTAATCCTGCATCATGCGTTGTGCACGCTATATGTCTTCTCCTGCAAATTGTTGATGCAAGTAATGTACACGGGCATGAAAGCAGCTGCGACAGCAACGTTGGAGTAGTAGCCGAACTCCAGATGCCCCTTGTTGAGGTCATTGGGCACATATGCGCTGAGGGCAGAGATCTGCAGTGAGAACAATGCAGTTGAGACGCCACCAATGACGAGACTAGTTGCCGCCGTCAGGGTTCTCATCGAAGGCGGGCTCTGGTCGTAGGCGAGGTGCATGAGCGTCGGCTGGGTGTAGATCTCTGCGACGCCCATGAGAAAGAAGGGAAGGAACATCCAAGACGCAGCCATCTCACTCATCCTCACGCCCTCGGGCGCACAGCTGGACATGATCCCCGTCACCGGTGCCTCGCGGCGCAGCTGCTCGATGCGCGCAGCGAGGAGCACCGACGCAGTCCCCAGGGCCATGCCGATCATGTACTTCGGGCCCGGCCCGAGGGGCGAGCCGTTCAGCCGGTCGAGGGCGGGGTTGACCCAGCGGATCGCGAAAGGCGTGGCGACGACAATGCCAATGCAGTCCGCGATCATGAAGAAGGATCCGGCAAACTGCGCCTGCCCGGGACCTGGAGCTGCCCAGGGGATCCTCAAGTCCATCTGGCACGCCTGCTGCTGGTACCAGAACTGCATGGAGTTGTAGAGCGCGCTGAACACCATGTTCGCCATGAACAGCACGGGTAGCAGCCTGAGGAAGTCCCGCACGTCCTCCGCAGGCACTGACGTGGCGAAGGCTGGCCTCCCAGCGAGCACCCAGTCGGGGCGTGCGCAGGCAAGACACGCGGAGGCTACTCCCACTGCCGAGCAGAGAAAAGACACCACCCCGAGGGCCGAGATACCATCCTGGCCGAGCAGCGCCTGCAGCACGGAGAGCAGGAGCCCCGCGAAGAGCAGCGCGACACCTACGCAGACCGCCACCGCCGAACCGCTGCCCTGCCGCGCCGCGCAGGCGACGTAGCTCGACACGCAGCCGATGGAGGAGTGGGCCCGGGTGGGATGCGTGCGGTAGTGCCGCCGGCACGAGCGGAAGACCACCACCGCGGCGAGCATCGCCAGCGCCGCGCACGCGTACACGGCGAAGTAGCCGAAGCGGCGGGGCACACCGAAGCCGCCGCTCGCCCCCACCGTGGTGAGGCACCCGTACGCCACCGCGGAGCCCAGGTTGATGGCGAGGTAGAACCAGGAGAAGAACGTCTCCCGTGCGCTCGCCTGCTCGGGGTCGGTCGGGTCGTACTGGTCCGCTCCGAAGTTGGAGATGTTCGCCTTGATGCCCGCCGTGCCAATCGGCACCAGGCCCATGATGCCCATGAGGTACAGGCGCCTGCTGGAGACCTCTGGCAAAGCCGCCACCGTGGCCAGGACGGAGCCACCGACATACAGCAGCCCGAAGGTCACGATGGTCATGTAGCGGCCGAGGGCGACGTCGGCAACCCAGCCCGCGAAGAGGGCCCAGGCCATGCAGAGGGTGCCCATCGCAGCGTTCATGCCCGCTGCGGCCGACACGGAGTATCCCAGGCGCTCCAGGAAGAATTCCTGGGTGCCTAGAGTCAGAAAGTATAACGTAAACGTACGCTTTCGACGGCCCGCGCGGATTGCTTGAATCTGCTCTGGCCCCCCCACTCCCTGGCGCACGGCGCCGCCCGGAGAGCCCAGCGCAGATCCAAGTAATCCGCACGGATTGTCGAAAGTATATGCTTGTGTCGCGTTTTCTTTTTCGAGCGCCAGTGAACGTGTAGAACGCAAGGCGCTCGCACAGCTCAACGGCCAAGATGCACATGCACACGCCAGGGATGGCAGGACTGATCTTCGCGGCAGGCCTCGCAACCTTGGACACCGCGCCGTACGTCCCCGCCTCATCCATGGCGGCCAGCTGCGACTTCATTGCTGCGGCAGGAGGAGTAGTAGAGCGGCCTTCGCGCGGAGCAGAGGCCCCCTGTGGGCCGTCATTGAGCCAGAGGCCCCCGACCCGCCTGTCGCGTGTCCACCGTCTGCGTGCTCGGCGCGTCGCATGGCTGCACCCAAACGAATGGAGCGGGAGGCAGTGCAGAGACTGCCTGCGCGCCACACGCAGCAGAGGGCCGCGAGAAAGCAGGAGCGGAGGAGGGAGGACCTCGGGTCCCCGAGGGCGCACGCGGGCTGGCGGCAGAATGCCATCGCCCCTGGGGCGTCCCCAAGGTACCAACCGCCAAGTGGCATGCCTCGACTGGTGGGCGTGCAATGCGTGTGCGTGTGTGTGTGCGTGTGTGTGTGTGTGCTGTGTGTGAATGTGTGCTGTGTGTGTGTTGTGTGTGCGTGTGTATGTGTGTAGGTGTGTGCGTGTGTGTCGGTGTGTGTGGCCGTGCCGCGACGCTGTGGCTTGCTCTCCCCTCCTTTTCCGGCCCGCCGTCCTGCTCGCGTGCCTGCCCTGCCGCTGCCGCTCTCGTGCCTGCTTTGGCTCCCCCGTCCCCTGCGCGGTGCCGTCGCTCCCTCCGCTCTTCCGCTTCGCACCGTTCCGAGCCTTCGCCTAGCCCCCGGCTTCGGCTGGGCGCCGCCCTGTTCACGGCTGTGCTGCGTGCACCGGCCCTGCGCCTGGCGTGTCGCGTCACGCCCTGTCCATCGCAGCAGCTTCGCGCAGCCCCCGCCGCCTCCGCCCCGCCTCGCGCCCTGGCCCTCCAGCCTTGGCGTCTCTGCTGCTCCTGCAGCTCCCTGCTTGCTGGGCCTCGCCCTGCGCGGCTGCCGCTGGTACCTCCCCCGGGCGCGCCCGCGACACCGCCCCAGGCCTGCTGCCAGGGGATGCCCTCCGGCCTGGCCGCCCCGCGCGCGCCCCCGCGGCCTCGCCGCGTGAGTGCGCCTTCTTCCTCTGCTGCCGCTCTCCGCGGCCGAGCCGTCTCTCCCCTCTTCCGCTCCCCTCTTGCACGTGGGACACTTCGCCGTACCGTGGCCCGGGTCGCCTGCACGCGCGCGCGGCCTGCCTCTCCCTCGCCGAGGACGCATCAGAGACCTGGGTCTCCCTCCCCCACCTTCTCCTCCCTCCCCCTCCTCCTCCCCCTCCTCCTCCTCTTCCTCCTCCTCCTCCCCCTCCTCCTCCCCCTCCTCCTCCTCCTCCTCCGCCTCCTCCCCCAGCGTCCTCCTCTCCTCGTCCCCTCCCTCCCCCCCCTTTTTGTCCCTCGAGAGGCCACCCTCAGGCTCAGGGTCCCAACCGCGGTGTGGTGACAGACCGCGCGGTGACCTCCACCTCCCCGAAGACCTCACCGCACGGGCACCTCCGTGCACGGGGGCCCCGGAGGCCCCGACCGCCCGAGACCACCTCGGAGAGCGGACCTTGTCTTCCTCCTCCTCCTCCTCCTCCTCCTCCTTCCTCCTCCTCCTCCTCCCTCCTCCTCCTCCTCCTCCTCCTCCTGTTCCTCCTCCTCCTCCTCCTCCTCCTGTCCTCCTCCTCCTCCTCCTGCTCCTCCTCCTCCTCCTCCTCCTCTTCCTCCTCCTCCTGTTCCTCCTGTTCCTCCTCATCCTCCTCGTCCTCCTGTTCCTCCTGTTCCTCCTCCTCATCCTCGTTCTGTTCCTCCTGTTCCTTCTCCTCCTCATCCTCCTCCTCATCACGTCGACCCCAAGAGATCCGGAGCATTTGTGTTCGTCCTGAGTCGTGTTCTGACGGTCCCGAGGCCTGGCCAAGGCCCCCAGGGGCCGAAACTCCGACGAGAAGCCTTCCAGCACGATTTCTTCATGGCTTGGGGGGGGGACTGGGCAGATGGAGCGACACCGACCCTGGACGGACCCCCCATGGTGTGGCCACAGCGCCGCTCTGGGGACCACCCTTGAGGCGCGCGCGGCTTTCCCCCCCCCCACCCCACCCCACGTCGTGGCGCTGGAGCCCCCTCGGGCCCCCCAAGGCTGCCCCCCAGAGGCATCCGAGAGTGCTCCCGAAGAGACCCCAAACAGAATCCCTAAGACGTCGTCGTCGTCGTCGTCGTCGTCGTCGTCGTCGTCGTCGTTGTCGGCGTCGTCTTCGTCGTCGTCGTCGTCGGCGGCGGCGTCTTCGTCGTCGTCATCGGCGTCGTCGTCGTCGTCTTCGTCGTCGTCGTCGTCGGCGGCGGCGTCTTCGTCGTCGTCATCGGCGTCGTCGTCGTCGGCGTCGTCGGCGTCGTCGTCGTCGGCGTCGTCGGCGTCGGCGTCGTCGTCATCGGCGTCGTCGTCGTCGTCGTCGTCGTCGTCGGCGGCGTCGTCGTCGGCGTCGGCGGCGTCGGCGGCGTCGGCGTCAGGCACCGGCCGCGAGGCCCCGTCGTGGCGCCGAAAGCGCGCCCCCCGTCGGGGCTCCGCCGGCGGCCTCCAGGGCGCTGCGGAAGGCCTTGAGCAGGAGGTGCAGCGTGAGGAAGCGCCGCAGCATCTTCGCCAGCCTGCCGGCCGCGGGCGGCCCGCGGTCAAGGGCGTACACATCGCTCATTTTTCTAATCGTGCTCAGTTCTAGTTGTGCTCGTTCCTCATTGTTCCTGGTAGAACAATTAATTTGAAATGGAAGGATCTTGGCCCCCCAAAAAAAGATCAAAGAACGTTCGAGGCATTGGGAATGAACAGTGTGCAGGTCGGGCATGCCCCCCTGCAGGCGGATCTCGGGCGACAAGTCCGAAAGGCGCAGAACATATCCAACACATGGTCCAAAAAGAGAATGGAACCATCGTCCCTGGACTGTCTTTTGCACTATTTCGGAATCTTCCTCCTGTAGAGGGACACGCCCGACTTCAGCACAGGCTGGGGGTGTCGGTACCGCGTGGTGGCGCACGGCGTGATACCCTCGGCATCCCCGACGACCTCACACCGCGCGACCCGTCGCCGCACAGCTCTGGGGGCCCCTCGACGCCTGGGAGGCCCGAGACGTCCTCGCAGAGCGACGCGAGCCCCGAAGCATCTGCGGTGGCCCCGAATCCCCACCGACTCGCCGCGCGGTGTGGTCACCACGCCGTTCGGGGGCCCCCGACGTGAGCGGGAGAGAAGCGCGGGGCGGGCAGAAGTGGGGATGCACGGAGCCAAGCTGCGACGAGCTCGGTCTGAGGCCTCGACGTCCAGCAGGCCCTGGCCGGCGCTTTCTCCTTCGCGGTCTCGACATTTGGCCGAAGGGTGGGGGAGGGGAGGGGAGCTTAGGGGGCAAACAAACCTACCTCGCGTTTGACCACCCTCGCTTCCAAGAGATACTAAGCGATGCCAAACTACGGCCTGTACTGGTCAGGCCGCTTGACGAGGAGGCGCGTGGTATGACTTGGTTTTGCCTGGAAGCGAAAGCGGGGTAGGTAATTCACGCTCCGAGGGCTGGGTCTTGGCCGGTGCTTCGCCGCTCTGCTTCTACCAGTCGCGCGAGCAGAGCGGGGGAGAGGGGTCCCGACCAGTCGCCCAAAGCAGCCGCCAACAGCAGCCAAGATCTGGTCTATGACGGGGGGTGGGAGGAGGGGGCCGGATGCCCGCGCCGATCGGCGAAACAGAAGGTAAAAGAACGGCTACCCACCTGGCGGAGGCAAGAGCCCACGATGCTTGGAGGGGGCCTCGCGCAGCACCCCACGCGGAATACGGTCGTGAAAACTTATGCTCTCTTGGCCTGTCGCGGCGGCGGCCCCGGCGACATGCCCAGGCGACACGCTGTGCCTTGCGAGTGGACAGCGCGTCGCTCCGCCCCGCGGGGCGGGAGACCTGGGAAAGCTCGGGGCGTTAATCACTGGATATGCAAGCCGAAGCCAGGACGAGGACACCATCGGGTGAGGATACGTCGAGAAACTCTGACATCCTGCGGCTCTGGAGAAGGACTCGGGCGCCGCGGCCTCCTCAGAGCGTTCTGGAGCGCTCTGAGAGCGTTCCGGAAGGCCCTGGAAGGGACGAGTCCTCGCCCCAGCCCCGTCCGCAGATAGGGATGTGGATAGCGTGTCGCGCCAATACGTGGTGGGCCAGCACCAGCGAAGCGCCACGCTGCCCAAAAGTCCCCGACAGTAGGCTAGGCCTCGTGTCTGGGCTTAGGTCGGGCATGTTCCCCTGCAGGCGGATGTTTGATGAACAATTAGAATTGGCCGAAAAATGCCCCCCAAAAAGGCTCAAAATATCAAAATGTAGTCCCCCGACTATTCTTCAAACTATTTTTGAATAGAATGTTCCTCCCGTAGGGGAACAGGCCCGACTTACGTCTGGGCGGCCCACTCTAGATCTGTGCACCAGGGAGCCAGCGCACCAGCACTTGCCGCTGCTGGTGCTGCTGATAGCGTCCCATTCTGGCTGCACCTTTCGCTCACGGCGAAGGCGACGAACAGCGACGACGACGACGAGAACGACGTCGTTCACGACGATGATCGCAGCTACGATGCCGGTGGCCACGACGACGATCACAAGGAGTTTGACGACAACGATGACGATTATGACCACGATTGCAACGGCGAAGTATGTGACGACGATGGCGACGACGTTGACGACGGTGACAAAGATGACGGCACATAAGACGGCACCGACAACAACGATGACGACTGCGATAAGGACGACAATGACGACTACGGAGCCCATTGAGATTGCGATAGCGATAACGATGACGACGAAAACGAAGACAATGGCGATGATGGTGACGACGACGAACCCCTCCTCCACCTCCTCTTCCCCTCCCATCCTCATCCTCCTTCTGCAACTGCTGCCCCCTACTGCCTACTCTGTGCTCCCTGCTCCCAACTTTGTGCTCATCCGCCTCATCCGCCTCCTCCTCCTCCTCCTCCTCCTCCTCCTGAGGCCCTCCCGCCTGTCACCACTCTTCCTCCCGTCGAGCATCATTCATTCCCCCCCCGTTCCCCAGCTCCATACTCCCTTGTGCTTGTTCCTGCTCTCCCCAACTTTCTGTGAACCCGGTCTCCCCCCTCTGTCCCCGCTCCTATCCCTCCCGCTCCCCCGATTTCCTGGCCCTGCTTCAGCTCACGGTCGCCCTCCTCGCCCTGCCTCCGCTGCTCCGGCACAGGCCTCCTCCAGCACCCCCCCCTCCTCCTCGACCCCCTCCTCCGCCAGCCTGCCCTCCTTGTAATTGTGTCCTCCTCGTGCTCGTCGCCCTCCATGCCCCCGCCCCCCCGTCTCGTCCTCGTCTCCGTCCCATTCAGCATCGCCGCCCTCGCCGATCGCCCTCGCCCTCGCCCTCGTCCCGCCCCCTCCCATCGCCACCCCCTGCGCCCCGCGACGGCCCGCGGCCCGCGTTGCTTCCCCCCCCCCTCCCCCCCCCTACCCCT